CATCATTTAAGATAAAAGGTGCAACCAATGCTTTCATAGTGTAGTAAGCTCCAATGTATGGTTGGAAGGAGATGCCATGAAGAACCACCTCATGCTGGACCATGAACTCTTCCAAGATAAGTTAATACAGTGACCTCTCCATTCTTGCTGTAACCAATGACTTGTACAGTTAAAATAAATTTGTGTGTTAACCTTGGTTAAACTTTTAAGTTTCATCTTCAAAGATGAAAGATGTCTTAAACATGTAGCCCACCCTTTAACTGTAGAACATACTCAGCCTGCCATCTGCAATTCATTTCTGAAAGCTGTACTTTTGGGTTTAATTCAGCCCTATTTTATTTTTTAATTTTGCACAATAAGCAGTTAAGTGTCTTCTCAACTTTTGCATATATTTCCTTTCTTATACATTTCTCAAAATATGTTTGATATTTTCCCTATTCAAGTTCCTTTTTTATTAGCAATTATCATTACTCAATACAATTTTAGCAAATGAATGATGATTAACCAATAGTTTGATTTTAGTAATATTCGAAGGTTTTTATTTTTAGGTGTATTTATAGCACCAACATAATTAAAGTATTAATATCCCAGTGTATGATGAATTTCCCTTTTAAAGAGTTTATTTTGTATTTTTTAAAAGGTCTCTTTGAATTACTTTTATTGTTTTCATTTAAAAGGTTTTTCCCTTACCTTGGTAAACACACAACAGATGAAGATGCTCATCACGAGTCCTGTTTATAAGTGGTTTATTTAGTGTGTTACCATATTGTGCAGACTTAGGACACTAGTGTCCAGTCTAACTTACGGTTACAAGTTTATTATAATTTCTTCAAGTTGCATTGTAACTTCTTAATCTGTAAATTAAAATCAACTGAAGAATAAGCATAACATATGGGAGAAGAAGGTTCTAATATGCAGACAGTACATATTATAGTCTCCCATAATGGATTTCTTATTCTTTCTAAAGTTCTAATTTAGGGCATGCCAAATGGTGACTTGTTTTCTGAGGGTAAGACATTATATAAAAGTCGAGTCTAACTAGAGCTGTGTTGGAAATACCACATGTGATATACCATAAATATTTTGATAGAACACTAAACACTTTAAAATATAATATTTTTGCGTACATAATTACAATTAAAATGCCCCCCTCCTGAAGTTTGTAAAAATCATGATTTTACTTCCATTGTCATTTCCAAACGGCTTGATGTACAGTCATAATATTTGGCATACAACTTCTCTATGAATAAGTCTAAGATTTTAATATAATAGAACTAATATGTTACCAAATCTTTATATTTTATTTTGCAAAATATTTTGTTTTGAAAAACAATTTTTGGAATACAATGCTACAATGGCAAATGAACTGACTGTTTATGTAACATTTTTATATAATAATCATAGATCTGATAATGATGTATCATTATAGATAGATAAGTGTCAACAATCCTTATAAAGTTAATAGACATCATCAAATTTGTAATACCTATCATATTATGAACTGCTAACATCTTGAATGTAAGTTTACAAATTGTCACTAGATGGCAGATATGACATGATCATCTTATTATTGTAATTATTAGATCTGTTTGCTTTATAACTCACTAGATGGCACTAACGTGTTTTGTCAGTAAATACAACATATTTGTCAAACTGAAATAAAATGGAATGTACAAGTTATCTTGAAAGTTCCAACATATTATATATATGGGAACTTACTATTCAAATGATACACATTTTTTCAGATACCAAAAAATATATATATATTGTAAGCAGGTGTGATAAAAACCATATTTCTTAGTGCACCTGAAATAATAGTATCATTTAACAAATAGCCAATTTGTTGTCTGTATATGTGTTATGTTGTGTTTCAATGTCCTTCTTGGTTAAGATATACTACAATAAAAAAGTCATAAAGATGACACTACTTGCTGTAATTAGAGATTTGATGAAATGTACAACTGTAGAATACGGCTATGAATATAATATAAATGCTAATGTATGCTAGTATTTTCATCAATGTGTAAATTCATGTTCTGCAGTTTTCGGCATATCTTGTATATACTATCATACACTTCTATTCTTTATTAAAGAATTATGTCAATATTTTGTAGCAACGTCAAAATTAACAGAAGGCTGAAGAGAATAACCCTACACTTCCTTCACATTTCCACCACACAATTACATTCAGAAGATGCTTGTTCTCAAGGTCAACTTCACCTTATTTTTATATAGATTTTCACTAAAGAATTTTTTGGTACATGTGACTAATTACATAACTGGACTTCAATAATGCAAAATACTGTTTAGTACTGTATTGTAAAGCAGGGTAGATGAACTTTGATTACAACATTAATCAGGAATGCACTATCAATTAACAGTGATATACAAGTGTTTTGAAAATATTGGAGTTCTAAAAAACACCTTAATTCATAATCTGAGCAAACTGTTTATTCCAATCACCTAAACACAACTTGAAAACATAATATGCCTGTAATTGGGACTTTCAAAAAGTCAAAAATATCTTGTTAAAATATTATAGACTAGCAACAATGTTGGTTAGAACTAAAATCAATATTGTCAGTGATTATTTCAACAGGAAGACTAAAGATCAAAACATCATATGTGGGTCAATATGAAAGTTGGAGACCATTGCACCTGCAGCTTTGATGGTAGAGTATTCTTCTTAAAGCATTCTAGAATGTTGACATCACCCAAAAGGTTGGGAAGGGATAACAAAAACATACCAGCTGCATTAACCCCTCCCTTATACAATACCTTCCAAGTCCACTAGGGATCAAGATCATATAACTTACGTATACTTTGTTTAATGCAGTATTTTCAAAAACATCAAAGTTCCAGAAGAAAACGAAAGCCGCCTAAGTGAAATGTTGAGTTACAGGAAAAAAACAGTAATGTACTTTAATAAACAGAATAATTAACAAATTGTATTTGTATTGTTTTATTTCTCAGTAAAACACATAAATATGAACAACATATTTGGATGTATCCTCCAATTTCAATAAATTATATTGAAGTGGTAAATATACACCTGGAAAAAAGTTAAGCACCCCCGTGTATTTTTCAGGATT